TTCCAGTACTTAATAATAAATATATATGCTTGAAATCAACTTTGCAGACCACTGATTTTCCCCCCTCCTAACTAAACAAGCATTATACATAACATTTTCCACTTGATTTGCTTCATATTGTATGTCATTCCATTTGCATTATGATTACCTCAGCACTTTCAGCATGCAGCTGCATTTCCCTAAGTAATAACAAAAACATGAAGACTCAATGGTCAGGTAGTTATGAAAGGAGACATATGACAGGAAATTAGATTCCTGTCCTTTCAAAGCACAAACAGAATGCTCATAAACTGTATGAATATGAAACAGCTTGAAAATGCACATGTTACTCAAAAGGCTTTTGATGTGTACAAATGTATGCCCTTGCTTTGTCTATCGCACTGTTTTTAAAGATGAATTCACAATAGGCATAGTTTGATTTGCAATGGTGGATTAATTTGTTTATAAATCACTAATCCAAGTTGCTTTTACAAAGAAAAGCTCATGCGACAATATTACTTGAAGGACTGTTAATTCACATACAGTGCAATTACTGATATTCAAAATTGGTATTACAACAGTGATTAAAATATCACTGTTTTACATGTGTTTTCAACAAATGCATTACGGATGCAAGCTGGATAGTTCCAACAAGAATAATTGTCCCAGTTGTTCCATGCTAAGACGGCCAACGCTAAGAGAGTTGAAGTGTTACAAAGACACTTAAGACTCTAGTGACAAGTGACATTTCTGGGATCTTGGTATTTTAAGAAGTTTTCATAGGTTTGGAAAAGGCATTCGATCTGAAGCATTCATTGTGAACACAGCAATGTTAACTCAGCTATGGTTAATCACTCAGATTTAAAATCTTTAGGTTTCGGGGAATCGACCTCATCTCCTCATTTCCAAAAGGAAATGAAGGAATTAAGACTGGTCGGGGGAAGCAGACCAGAAGAAAACAAGAATAAAGCTTTTCAAAAGAAAAGACAACTCCCCATCAAACACCATGGAATAAAATCCCACTGACTATGTGTTCAACCAGAGGGGACCCTAAACTTACAAGCTCTGCTTTTACCAGTGTCTCATTGTCTTTCTTTTAATTCACTTTTTTATCATTGCAATCATCTTTCTTTTCAATTACAATTACCATATAAATTATAATGTTCTGTATTATTATTGTGTATTAGTTTGTAATGTCTTGTACACGTCTTGCATTTTGTTTTATTGTGAATTTTAATGTTTTGTATTTTCCACATTTATCATTTATGTTATGGGTCCACCCACTTCTCTCAAGCCATCGGCTTTATCGGGTGTAAATGATCCAGCACAATTCTCAATGTATATATATTGTATGTGATTTTTTATGAAATAACAAATTGAAATTGAAAAAAAAAAATTGTAAATGTGTAATAATCTAATGTTATGCTCCTTGTGAAATTTGAATAAAATATGAATAAATATCTTATCTAATCTTATACAGAATCTGTAATGTAAACGCATCTATGGTCTGTCACTCTGTGGTCTTGATGTTTCAGAGAATTGGATTGAAATGAACTATTCCCAGATGGAATGACGTGAGGGGAGATGCGTGCTTGCAGGAGGAGAGCTGCATCAAGGGAAACAAGAATCAAACGGAAAGACAACTACTCATCAAACGCTACATAATGCCAATGTCTGCATTACAGAATCCGGAATGTGAACACGGCTTAAGATAATCGCTCTGTAGGCTTTATGTTTCAGAGAATCGCACTGAAGCAACACATTAATTCCCAGAGGAAATGAAGGGAGACGGCTTCGGAAGAATTAGAGCTGCATGAAGAGAAACTAGAATAAAAAACTTTTGGAAAGAAAAGACAAGTAGTTGTCAGACGGGACATAATACCAAAGACAGAATGTTCAATTCTGAATCTGGAATGAGAACACATGCAGCTAAAGATGATCCCTCTGTAGTCTTTAAGTTTCAAAGAATCGCACCAAGGTGACCAATTCCCAGAGGAGATGAAGGGCGACTGCTTGGGGAGGGAGAGCTCAAGAGAAACAAGAATAAATTGTTCGAAAGGAAGGACAGCTACTCATCAAATGACATGGAATGAAATGCCAGGGACTGTAGATAAAACAGCTTTAAGATGCTCAAGTATTCTATTGATTCTCATCTTCCAAGCTTAGGTTTCTCTCTCCAGTGATTACTGTCCAATCTAGCCCTCAGTCCTACCGATTCCCTGTAGTAATTCTCAGGAACACTTGATACACTCAAATCATTGAAGGTACTATTTAAAAGTTTGGGCTATTGAAAAAATCCATCAAAATGTCATTTGTTCGAGGCATATGATCTATCATAAAAGCAGAGGCCAAGTGAAGTCTTTTCCCAAAAGATTAGATTTGTACATACTACATAGGTATTCATTAAAAGCAATATTCCTCCTCTTCGAGTTTGCCTTGATTCTTTTCAGCTATTTCCTAGTACCGGTATGTTTGTATGCTTGTTTATATTTTTTGACTGTTTGCGAATTGTATTCAGATTATGGAAAATGAAGTAAACTTAATTTAATTACATGATCTATACCTTGCACTCAGTAAGCAGATACAAATGAGGTAAATTTCTCTCTGCAAGACACTTAATAAATGTTAACAGTGTTGCCTGTAAATTTTCCATGCATATATGTTCGGAGAGGCTCAATTAGATTACGATAGATTCATTCAAATTCCAAACACTTTTATTTAAAGAAAAATAAGTGCATGTTTTCAGTGTACATTTCTAAGAAACCTCCCCCATAACGAACAAATGAATCGATAAAACCTTACAAAATAGGTTCTGACATAAAGAAGGGAAAAATATATGAGTACATTACATGCGACAAACTCAACCGTGGAAAGCAACTCGGTAGTATAAGACGCAAAGGCCATCTCCCACATCTTTGAACGTTGGCATTAAAGTGCATTAGTTTCCTCATGCGTGGGTATATGGGGTAGGTGAACGTGATTAAAGAGGAAAATTAACATGTCGGAATGTCTTGCCGGTAAAGCTTTTATGCACATTGATGGCATTTAGTATTATTTAATGGCAAGGCTCTGAGAAACGAGTTTGTTTCTGCGTAATGGCACAGCGCTATGAGGAAACCAAGTGCTGCAAGTATATTTCAACGAAAATAACTCTAAAAATAACGACAAGCTCATGAGATAATCATGTACAATTTTGGATATACAGCCTGTATACTTATCATATTTTCCACAAAAATATGATTTTCATGGCTATTTTAATAGGGTTACATGCACATGGGTCGATCATGCATATTCTGGTGAAATAACAGTTGATATGCACTGTTGAACCGGTTTGCAAAAAATCCCACCAAAAGTATTTGTGGATCATTCAACTAATGAGAACTGTCTCCAGGTTCCAATTTATAAGTACATATTTTCATTAAGTTTTTCATACCAAGTGCTTAAAAATTAACAAGCTTTCATCCTTTTCAGCAATAAGGGTAAAATCCAATGGTACAAGTCATGTATATGTACCAAAACAGTTTTCAAAGTCTTTACCTGTGGTTCAATGAGCGATCAGCTAAAGATATTTTTGGAATACTGTTTAAAGAATTAATTTATATGAACAATCTAATGTTCTAAATAGAATATTTTACATTCTTTTTTTTAACTTGGCTATAATAACTATAATAACAAAAAACGACATGTTGAAAACAGGAGAAGAACAAATAATCTAAAAATGTCCAAAATGGGGCCTAGTATTTCGCAAAATGGTTAACTTTTGGTAGTTACCATAAAACCTAGGAATGATTTTACATTATAATGTTTAAATACTAAAAAGAGAAAAGAAATTCTTACAGATAGGATTACACATTTTTATTATTCACCTTAGTTTAAAGGTAAAGACCAGTTATGGTCATGCGATTGCATTGTGAAAGAAACGTTGTGGAATCGATCAGAAAAGGTTGATCATCTAGCATCTACATGTAGCATCTGCAAGGTTTTGGAATCATCAAAATGATAAGAAATTTGGCCCATTCTTTGTAAAGTTACAAGCACTATATACACAGAAAGATGTATATGGGACTACCCTATATCTCTCACAGACCATGAGAGAAACAAATTTACCAAATATATGAATTAGTAGGCGGTCTCCCGGCAAATTTTGTATCATCATGTATTAGTCAAAACATATTCTTTCACATGATTGTTAATGAGAGCTTCCATTTCATTTTTTGAAATTGGGGCGTTTCCAATACTGGTCTTTACCTTTAAACTTAGTTTTTAAAATCCAACAGATTCCATTAGTTCTGAAAGAGATTGTTATGTATTTAATAACACAGCATTATTTTTCACTCACAGATACTGGAAATACAGTCCCCCACTGTATTCCCAGGGCCTAGTGGTGGTCGATAAAAAGGATTAGCAACGGTTGCAACCAGATATGTATCATCATGATTGTGGTTTCTACCTGACAATTTATGCCTTCCTGTATTACCTAAAAGTACAGAGGATTTGTGTATCGTCCAACTAAAGATTATTGTGTAATATACACTTCAATATGTCCAGTATTAAAGGGAATTAAACACTTTGTATTCATGATATTATCAGGGATATAATGACTTGGGTGAGGTCCAATATGGTTGTAATCCAAGGTGATATATTCAATTAAATTTTTTTTTTTTTAATAGGGTGAAGGGTTTTGTTTTTTCAAAATCCATCAAAACACAATCTAGAATTTCATCAATTGAATGAGGTTTTCATTTGAATCAAACAAAATCTACAGAGAAGTAATTATGGTACATTTTTATTGAATGTATTAGAACTAATACAAAGTTGTTTAGTTACATACATATGTTGTATACTGTACATCAATAATATAGTTTTTTAATTAAATCACACACAGATAGTAGTACTGTTTTTGTAGTTTGCTCACATAAATCTTTCATTGGGAAACAAACCTGGAATGAAGCTAGGTACATGTAGATCTATTCGATGTTTTGAAGGAGACATATGCTTTTGTATTAAAAAAAAATACTTACCATCAGTTTCAATGGCCCTGGCATATACCATACAAAGGTATAATGATATAGCAATACCAATTACACTGAAACGTAGGCATGTCATTGTACTGTAGCTGTAATTAAGACACTGTTCTACATTAAATGTATTGAAAAGATTGTTAATAATCCAATATATTCCAAACTGGTCAGACGAGCTAGAAGCTAATAGATGGTTATGAAATCAAGGCATGTGTTGAATCAGGTGGAAGGAATCAAAAAACCTCATTAAAATGAGGAATTAGTAGATCAGACGAGAAAAGCCATCAAGACGAAGATAGGTGGTTTATCCATACGAAGCAGCCTGAACTGAACTCAGAGCCGCATGCAGTATATTGCCTGGGAAACACTGCGTCTGTCGCCGATGGAAAAGCCTACACTTCTGGAGGACGTGGGTTACATGCAACAGGCTGTTTGCCTCGCTAGCGTCAGCAGTCTCTTTAAAGACTTCCCGTCTATTTTCTTTCCCCAGCCCGCAAAAACAACCCTCATATTTAACGAACGACAAATACAGAAATATACATCAATAAATCCTACTTAATTTATGTCGGGTTCTTTGATGATAAAAATGCAGGTATTATGATTCATGGACGAGAGGAATGGATTTCAGAATAAAAAATAAAATGGTAAGGACAGGAAACGAGGCTGTTTGTCTTGATTGCTTTCGTCAACAGGCTTTCAGGATCTTTCTGTGCTAGGATTAGGCCGTTTGTGAAAGGATGGCCCACTTCTTTAACTAATCAATAAAGGCGGTGAGCTATTTAGATACTTCGGGTATGACATATCTCACTGAGAGAAAGCGGACTTTTAACCTAATCAATAATAGATGATTTCTACCATTGTATAAATGGGAATAATGCTCTAGTTTTCTAAGGTGTTAGATACTGCAGAATTTAGCCTGAAGATAATGGTTTGCGGAGAGCGAGAAGGGCTGCAACTCATTTCGTTTTATGTGAAACAAACGTCCTTTTGGTTCTCAACGGATGTGATGACGTATGTGTAACTATAGGGCTGAAAATCATCCAATTGATTTAGGCATTATAAATTTACTGTAAAATGGCTTTAGGATTGGAAAGAACATCTTGAAGACTCAACAATTCTTACTTACACTGGCAACTAGATCATTCATACCCTTTAATACCAAGTTTGTAATTTTTTAAAGCATGTGAAAAATTGATTTGCCTCGATTTATGTATCTTGAGAATATGACATATTAAAGCGTTCATCTAAAACACTAAAAAGTTACCAACAAAGGCCCTAATTCAACCAGTCCACCTTTCATTATTTGAGTTACGAAAAACACAAAAAATATCAAATTTACAAAGGGTATGACAAATTTAGTTGTCAACTGCAGCTATTTGACATATGAAAATAATTATATGAGAAACAAACAAATCCAAGCAAATATTTATAATCTAGAAACTAAAGAGTTTCACAAATTTTATAAGATAAAACTTTAAAGCAGAATATAATCAAACTTTGTCTTGGTTCATTGTAATGACCATCTTTGAAATAGAATGAACTCTTTCACAAATCAAAATAATCTTCCCACAAACAACTTGTCTACAAGCATACAGTTATATAATCTACCAAAAATGATTTTACATCAATACGTACGTCATACTGCATGTTTTTTTAAATACTCTGTTGCTAATGAGTTTAAAAGAAGATCTGACGTTCGTTTTTGTCCTTGAACAGGAGACATCTTTATCTCCAGTCATTGTGATATGGTCACAGCTGCGAATAAGGAAATGGGCTCGGCGCCATCTTGAAGTTGTTTTTGTTTTTGTACTTAGGTTTGATCTTGATGACCATGAAGAACAACAGTCGCTATAATGACGATAAGTATCCAAATTTGATCTTGTTTGATGTTTTGTTCGAAGATTATTTTCTAACTTTTGCTTTAGAAATACAAGTTTGTTATCTTTCTTGATTGTTTAACTATGAAATGAGAAGAAAATAATGCAAATGAGATTATTTCACTTGATAAAGTCATTCCGATTTGTCAAGCATATCATATCTAATGGATATACATGAAGCTCATGATTTACTATTATATTGCAATATTGTAATATATTCCCTCAAAATAAAACATAATCTTATGATTGCAAATAAGGAAATGAATTGCCGACATCAACATCTAAAAAATAATTTGTGACATTTACACACTAAATTGACGATTGAATAGATTTTGTACACCTTCTCTCACTTGGCGCATTCAAAGCATCGCAAACAATGGGGCGAAATGCAGAGGCACGATTGATTGGAAAACTACTGTAACTGCGGGGCAAAATACATTCTATTATTGATTAAGGGAGTTACTGCTTTCATAAACCCCTTTCTCTATTATCCTTTTACTCTCGGGTGGCTAGTCTTGCCTGAAGGAGTTTGAGTTTTTTAAGATGAAGTCAAGCTATTTGCTAGTGAAAGTGGGGAAAGAAGTGATTCTGTTCAACGGGGATGATCGATTACTTCAAGTATAAAATTAGCGATTTCAAAGAGTCACTTTTGCCAACATTATATCATCATTATTACTAACATTTCTTTAATTTTAATGAAAAATACATAAAAAGAAAAAATTCTGCGTTGTTATTAAGCAGATATTAGAAAAAGAAGTTTTTATTTTAGAAATGAAAACTACTCTCAATTTTGCTTTTCTCGAATTGAGCTGTAAATTTAGAACATCAATCAAGAAAATTGCAATTATTTTATTTCCAATTATGTATTTAGATTTATCAATCATATCCAATGCTATAACATGAGATAACTCCTCCCCACCCCTCCACCATCTCCCCCCCCCCCCCAAAAAAAATAAAAAATTATCACACATTAACTTTCTGGTATTGGAGTCCACTTTAAACTCATTACAAGTTAATAACTGAAATTCTATCACTTATACGGGACATTAAAGTGTTATTTGTCTGCTGAGAGCAAAACAAAGCAATATGTACCAGCATAAAAACATATATGGCGTGCAGCTGGCCCTCTGATAACTGCACACTATTAGTATATATTAAGTGTAGATACAGACTTACTGCCTCTTCATGACACAGCAAATTTCATGTAACAAGAAACAAAATAGGAAGTATGATAAGAAGAATGAAGGACAGAGACTTGTAAAAGCTTTATATCTATAGTGAATTTAATTCTCAAAACATGAAGACATATCTAATAAAAACTATAGAAGCAAGGTATTCATACATGTGGTTTCCTTTCAGAATACTTTTCATTATACATGATTGACAGAATAATGGTCTGGATCATTGATGTTAAGATGTATATGCCTTATCTTCTATTCTACTTCCTGTTCCATTTGTAAAATTCCTATTCCTTAAGAAATAATCATACCTGTAACTACCGTCTTCAGGACACATTTCATTATCATTGATTGAAAAAAAAGATGAGCGAGATGGGTGATACATGCTGTCTTCCATTCCTCTTCAAATTCTTCTTTCCCTAACCAACGACTGAACTACCCCTCCCCCCCCCCCCAATCCTACCACCAATCATTCCGAAAGGGCCCTAGGGGGTGAGTGACATTTAGGAGTGGATATGTGTGACATGTTATAAGAGATCCTTGGGACTGTCTTCTCTCAGGCTACAAAACACCACCCAAAAATGAAAAGACTGACATTCTGATGAAAAAGGATGAAAGATTTAGTAGAATATTCTTAAAGCCCATCTGCACTAGTTTGGCCAAGAGGGATTAGACCTCCCTGTATGGTCACTGACAGGTGGTTATCTCATCAACTCAGCTCTCAATTAGCATAAGACAAAGGGGACCATGGGAGACCACTGGTCACCGGTTAGGCATTAATTGTTTGCTATATAGAGGGCGCAAGTAGCTATAATTAGTGCAGTGGGGTTTAAAGTATTAGCTTTTGAAATGAAGTGATGTAATGCCGGGCTACAGCATTAAAGGACAATAATGATATTCATAACTGAGAATCAGATCAACACATAAACAGTTTGCCAAAATCTGATTTGTATGAATGCCCAAAAGTGGATATGGTGGTTTACAAATCATATAAGACTACTGGTATATGTTATCATCACTGCACACCCTGTAGGTGTAGAATTTTTTAATTTACAAAAAAAAAGGGAAAATTATAATTTTTTTGACTGAAACAGATATGTGTTTTGCTTAAAATCATCCAATCTAAAATAGATTTATGTAAACTTTAGTCACAAAAGACTTTTTCTAATGTTAGAAATCTACTTTTGATATGAAATTCTAAGTCATCAGCAGCAAAATTTCAATAAAAATAGTGACCAAATGAAATCAATTTGGTACTGTGTTGCATGGAATGCACATGATTTGATGGAAAGAGTGTGAAAAATGTAATATTCTCTACACTTCCACATACAAAATTCACATCATGCCTGCAACAAAATACAAGGCTTTGCCTGTATCCGCCGAAAGTGATGACCCCTTTTTTGTAAAGCCCTTTGTCTGTTCAAATATGCTCCTCTGGCTCTCCTAGGGTCTTGTCAATCGATTGTACGTGAACCTAGCTCTAGGGTACCTGACATCTATATCAAGTACCCTGGCACTTACGACTAAACCATACTGTGTACCACTGTGCTTCAAAGATAAGATCTTGCAAGATGCCTGTACACTGTACATGTTTCAGTCTATGATGTGTCTACCTGACGTATGTTAGTCTGTATGTGTGTGTATCTGTCTGTCTGTCTGTCTGTTTGAACCTAGGGTGAACATGCATTTAGATAGTACACGATGTCTTTTTTAAGTACCCTGGTACTTTAATTGTCTAAAACCATACTTTGTACCACTGTGTTTCAAAGATCTAATTGCTCTGCTTTTACATGTATCAGTCTTTGTATCTATCTGACGAATGTTAGTCTGTATGTGTCTGGTTGTCTTTCTGTTTGAAATTTAATAGGGTGAACATACATGTAGATGGCAGGGTGCTACAAGAATTTTTTTCACCACTTGCCCTGTCGGGCAAGTGGGTTTTCAATTTACTTGCCCAAACAATATTTCCACTTGCCCAAAACTTTAAAGCGAAAAAGGACTCGAGGTTAAAGCATTTATTATCTCGTAATGATAAGTTAGTGTTTTAGATAGCAAATTAATGCACATACATGTACAGTGTAACTGTACTGAATAATAACCTAATATGTCAAAGAAAATGGTCAACAAAGGATGGTTGAAGGTTTAAAAAACGCATTTTATTGATTCTCCATAAATAATCAGATTCACATGAATCTCGGCAAGGTAGAATGGTTCAAGCAGGTTTAAGTTTTTAATATTCAGTCATGTAAAAAAGCATAATGACCCTGTTGTAAAAAATATGATACAAACATGTCATTAATGGTAGCCACATGTA